AGCTGGGGAATGTTGGACTCTACACATAGTGCTCAAACTTTGCATGGTATAGCTCACCAGCACAAACTGTGGCTTTTAATGATTAAAAACAGCTGACAAGATTTTAACAATTATAAAAGCTAAAAGTAGCCAACAGTTCCACTGGTGGTACTACTTTATTCAATGTTAAACACCACTGAATAAACATTTTGCAAGCAGGTACTCTACAGCATTTCATTAATCTAGTACGAATCCAGTTCAAAAATAAGGTACAAACAGGAGGAATAAAAATTCTCAGCATATTTCCAACCTCCGTCACTCAACCAACTATGGCCCAAGGTTCTCCATGGCCGTAGCTAAGACTAGGTGGAAGTTTGGTCTGCTGACCAGTAGCAATCCAGATCTCATTTGAATTTCTGGGGTCAGGGGTATGCCATAAGATAATTTGGTCATCTGTGGGATTTGTGGTGGAGCTTGAATACTCATCAGTTGGGAAGCGGGTGGAGTGGATCAGGCTAAACTATTTTCTACTATTTTAAAATAATCAAACTCAATAAAACTAGGGGGCTCTTGTGGCGCGGTGGTAGTATCTCTATCTGTCGGGGCAGTCTTAGGTTCAAGTGCGTAATAACATCTCTGGATAGACTGATTAGAAAATATCTTTAATAAAGTTACAGTAGACTGCCTCTAGGGGGTACTGTCATAATAAACAGCAAAATTCTAAAGTAAACTTACTAAATTCTAGTCATTTTGGGGATGATGATACAGCCCAGACCCTGTGATGCCCACCAACTGCATGAAGAATCCTGGCAAACACCTCATGCTTCCTCTCTAAGGAGTTGCAGATACGATGTAATGTATTGTATGTTGTTGTGAGATGATAAACTTTAAAGATATCTGTCTCCTTCACAGTCAGTCACAATGCAATCAGTTAAGCTACATACTACTTACACTCTCATTCTTCCTAACTGCAAACAATGGCCAGCTAGGAAACAATTATGCAGCACGCATTTATACAGCACCTTTTCAATTCTCTTCAAAGCATATTGTCTTCATTCATATTTAGCTTAGTACAGCAAACAAAAAATGAAGAAGGTATCTGTTAAGATCATTCTCGTCCTCATCTGATGCTTCCCGATTAAATCCCAGAATTCTCTACTGGACTTGCTACTTGTCATCAGTGCATTGTCTCTTTTATATTCCAACATTTTCCCCCCCGAGGGTACTAGAGAGAGGTTCCATGTGCTGAAATTCCTCTGATACCTCAACCCTTCTTTAAGTAGATGCCACAACGAGTGCAAGCGATTTACTTGGCCATGAGAAGCGTTGCTGTTGAGCTGACTATGTCTTCAGCGAATGCACTTTCCTGCAGGAGTCACTGGATATGGAATAGGAATGAAAGTACTCACTGATTTTCTCCATTCCACAGAGAATGTGCTTACCACCACGCGGACTGAAATGAACCAAGTCAGCAAAAAAACTCAATGGCTCCTGGAATAGTTTGCATAATTGTAATGTGGGCCCAGAGGCTTGACAGTTTGGCAACCATGTACGCTGTCCATTAGATAAAGGGAAGAGGAGGTAGCAGGCTGACCAAATAACAGGAAATAGATGTAGAGGACAACAGACATAGCCCCATTATAAAAGGGAGCACAGAGGAAACAAAGCCAAGCCAAAAGAATGAAGTGAGGCAATTTTGCATTCCCGAGACTCATCGGGATACAGTCACAGAACGTTTTGAGTTAAACACCAGCTCTTTCAGCATAAATACCTATTGAATTCTTTCATGAGCACTCTTGGCTTTGCAAAGGGGAAACAATGAAAGAAGCTTTGCTTAATCTTGAACCCTTAAAGGGTTGTTCTCAAAACCAAAGTATGAGAGATATTGAGGTCTCTTTCGAGGCACTAAAATGGTCATTATTACGATTAACCAAAACAGCAGAATGGCTCCCCTGTGCATGTGTGGCCGACTGTTTCAGCTGACCATGACAGGCTGCAGTAAACATTTCCATATGTTGCTGATGGTATTAGACTGGGCTGGGCATGAGGTGCTGGGGAATGACGGGCTGGGGATGGAGGTTTTGTGGATGAGGGGAGTGGGTGTAAGAAAGAGTGAGGATGAGAGGAAGATGGGAAAGAAGGGGCTGGGGATGAAAGATTTGGGGATGCAGGGCTGGGCAGGAGGAGGTAGTGGGTAGAGGCTGGGGCTGATGAAGTGGTGTTTTCTCCAATGTCTGCCAGTGGGTCTCCACGGTGAGGATCCTTGCCATGCACATCCCGTCTTTGCTGCCAGGGAATCTCCAGCTGCTGAACCGCTGGGAAGGAGACCCTCACAGAGGCCGCTGGGTGATACCTGGCCACTGGAGCCGCTCATGCACCTTTACCCCAAAACCCTCTACTCCTTCCCTGACATCTGTCAACTCCCAGCTCCCCCTCTGCTGCCTGTCAACTCCCAGTTCTATTCCCCACTACCTCACACCCCCACAACGCTTTGCTGCATGCTGCCCACACTTGTTGCTGATTATCTCCACTTCCTCCCCTCTCACAATCCTACACCCTCTTGACCTCCTCATCTAGATTCACCTTCTTGGCTCCTCAGGCCTGTGACATCACTGACCGTGACAGAGATAGCAAGAACTGCTGATGCTGGAGTCAGAGATAATCCAGTTTGGAGCTGGAGGAACCCTGCTTCAGAAATGGGCACTAACCCTAGCCCTAACCCATTTATTTCCCAGCTCCCTTCCCCCTCCCCATTTCTGAAGAAGGGCCCAGACCGGAAACGTTTACTTTCCTGCTCTTCTGATGCTGCCTGGCCTGCTGTGTTCCTCCAGCTCCACACTGTGTTATCACTGACCATGACACTGTGTTCTTGAGTGTGAGTGTTCATTGCTCCACCTGGTGGTGGCATTCATAATAAACGAGACGCCTTTCCCTTTTGGTTGGGGGGTGGTTGGTTCCGTGGGTGGGGGGTGGTTGGTTCCGTGGGTGATTAAATTCTTTCAATGTGCACTTGTACTTGAAATTAAGTGAGGAAAAAGGCAATGTCTCTTCTTCACCAAATCCTCCACGTGGGTTGCAAAACCAACTGTGTTCAGTGCATCTGCAAACAGAGGCTGGGCTTGGATGGGTACAGTTGTCAGGGAGGAGTGGCATAGGTGTGATTGATGTCCCCAGTCATGGCCTGAGGCTTGTTGCAGATGATGTCTACACAACCCTGGAGCCCTAGAGGCTGCAATGACCCACATTCAGAGCCTGCAGCTGAGAGAGATGGCAGCAATTAAAAATGAAGACTGACTGAGTGAAAACTTTTCACCCTGATTATCATTGAACCTGTTTGACGCGACCCTTCCTTGCGTCACCGGACCTGAAACATTATCTCTGATTTTTTTTCTTCACAGATGTTGCCAGGCTTCTGAGCTTTTCCAGCAACTTCTGTTTTTTACAGCACCTGCAGTTCTTTTGGTTATATTTAGTGAAGTTGTGGAATTCTTTCCCACAAAAGAGTGTTGCGGCTGGGTCGTTAAAGCTGAGACAGTTAGATTTTTTGATTAGTAGGGGAATAAAGGGTTATGGGAAAAAGGTAGGAAGGTGGAGTTGAATGTTGGAGCAGACTCAGTGAGCTGAATGGCCTACTTCTGCTCTTATGTCTTTTGGTCTTTTAGTTAACTCCAATAGTTAAATTACTGAGGGAGTGTTATTTGTTGGACTTTGTCTTTCATGTGAGTCATATAACTGACGCCTCATGCGCATAGTTCCAGGACTTGGACACAATCACACTGAAAGAAGTTTGTTTCAAGTCATGATGAACTGTGGTTTAGAAGGGAGCTTGCAATTTGTGGTATCCCCATGCATCGACTGCCTTTATCCTTGTAGATGGTAGAAGTTGTGGTTTGGAAGGTGCTGTTGAAGGAACCCTGGTGGATTATTACAGTGAATCCTGTAAATAGTACAGACTGCTGTTGCTGTACTAGTGGTGTAGAGAATGAATGGTTAAGGTGGCTATTAAATTAAGATAGCTGCTTCGTCCTGAGTTGAGTCCCTTGAGTGTTGCTGCAGGCAAATGGAGAATATTCCATAAAATTCCTGACCTGTGCTGTGTACATGATGGGCAGGTTTTGAGAGTCAGAAGGTGAACATTTACCACAAAATTCTAAGCCTCTGATCTGCTCTTGTGGACACGGTGTGTGTCTGGCTGGTGTAGGTCAATTTCTGGTCAATGGCAATTCCTAAGATGATGATAGGAATGCAATGATGCTAATGCCATTGAATGCTGAGAGGAAATATGGAGACATTCTCAACATAAAAGATCCAATGCATGCGTTTTTGCAAAAGTGTTGCTAGCCTCAGTGTCTTTTTCACTGTGTGAATGGGGTCTAACTAGCTTTGGCCTTAAATACCATTTCTTGAGTCCAACATGCTATCCTCAAAACTCTCTATTTATAGCATTGTAGACACACAGATTTTCCTAGACACTGGTAGAGCTTCTGTGTACCTCTAGATGTCCTGGCATAATCATATGGTGCTGACAGCTACATTGCATCATGTCTATCATCACTGTTACACATGTTGCTGACATCTCATTCCTTTACCGTATCCTGGCCAATACTTGCCCCTTAAACAACATTACAAAAAACAGTTCACAGATTGTTATTCTATGCTGTTTTCAGGAGTGTGCTGTCAGTTATTGGCTGCTGTGTTTTCATTGGCTTTGGGGTGGTTGTAAAAGGCATTATGTCAATGCAAGTCTTTCTTTTACCCAAGAGTTGGTGACTGATCTGCCTCCAATGCTGCCTGATTATGATTCACAATTCCAGCATCCACAGTATATAGCTCTACAGTGTCTTTGAATGCTTTGTGAGGAACGGGATCAAGCTCAGCTATGACTGAATCTCGTTCGGTCATGCAATGTCTAAATGCAGCAAGGGATTAGAGATGGTGGAACAATCACTGGAGGAAGCCTTTGAGAATGTTGCAAACAGAGGGCTAGAGTCATATTGTCTTTACCAATGATGGGTCTGTACCTGTGCAGATGAAGCTTGGCAATCCGCCATAGATTAGGTCATCGTTGTCTGGTAGAATAAACGGACATCGGGCCTGGACTTCCAGGCAGTATTGCTTACAAGGAATCCTGCGAGGACACAGCAGCTGTGTGGCTTTGAAATATTCCGAGCACAGCCATGCTTTGTAGACTGCCTAAAGGAACAAGGGAGGGGAGATTTGGGTTGGGGTTAGAGGTTAGAAAAAGAAAACAAAAAAGACACATTTTTAAATATTCCAGCATCTGGACAGATTAATACATTTCATTTAAAATTATTTATAGTTGATAAACAAGCTTGATTCATTAAACTATCAATAAGTCAGATATAGGGTTCACCCATGTCCTTTATTTTCATGTAGTCTCCAAAATCTGATCCAATTTCACTGTCTGGCATTACATCCAAGGCCAATAAAGCATTCCAGTTTCTCAAACACAGTTATGACCTGACATAGTCACTTGTTTTCTAAGCTGACATTTTAGTGGTTTCCAAAAATAAGTTTCCAAATGTTTTTGATAATCATTTCCAGTAAGAGAAATTGATTGGAATTGGATCACAAACCTGAAACGCAATGTGATAAATAAAATGTTTATTGTTTTTTGCATCGATGGAATAGATCCCTCTTTTTAAAACTTCTTATTCTCTTATTTTAGATTTTCTGAGCCATGAACGAGAGAGAGAGAGAGAGAAAGGCTCTTCCTATACTCCACAGTGCAGCTCTGAAATTAAGGAAAGTCCAAGTTTTGAGGAAGGGTCAACGGACCTGAAACATTAACTCTGATTTCTCTTCACGGGTGCTGCCAGACCTACTGAGCGTTTCCACCAATTTCTATTTTTGTTTCTGCACTTCCTCTTACTTTGCTTTGTTTCTCTCTCTTTTCTTCCCTGTGGATACATTAATCATTTTACATTTTCAGCACATCACATCAGCTCCCAATGACTGGACCTCATCCACCACAATCCAGATATTATGGAAGACAGTAAGACAGTTTTCAACTCCAGTGTAAATCTGGTGGACAGCTGGCAGGGAGCACGCTTGCATTATGGAACCAGTCTCAAGGGTTGAAGCTAAGCCAGAACTAATGATTGAAAACAGATGGGGAAGCCAGAGTGTGATGGGTGGACAGATAAAAGGATATACAGCAAGATGGAAGATTTCAGTCGGGCCAGAACCAGCAATCATGCTCCTCTTGACCCTGAAAACAACATTTAGAAAACTTAGAGATTGTGGGAACTGCTGATGCTGGAGAATCTGAGATAACAAGGTGTAGAGCTGGATGAACACAGCAGGCCAAGCAGCATCAGAAGAGCAGGAAAGCTGACGTTTCGGGTCTGGACCCTTCTTCAGAAATGGGGGAGGAGAAGGGGATTCTGAAATAAATAGGGAGAGAGGGGGAGGCGGATGGAAGATGGATAAAGGAGCAGATAGGTGGAGAGGAGACAGTCAGGTCAAAGAGTCGGGGATGGAGCCAGTAAAGGTGAGTGTAGGTGGGGAGTTGGGGGCGGATAGATCAGTCCAGGGAGGATGGACAGGTCAAGGAGGCGGGATGAGGCTAGGAGGTAGGAGGTGGGGGTGGGGCTTGAGGTGGAAGGAGTGGACGGACAGGTTAGAGAGATGGGGATGAGCTGGGCTGGTTTTGGGATGCGGTCGGGGGAGATTTTGAAGCTTGTGAAGTCCACATTGATACCATTGGGCTGCGGGGTTCACAAGCGAAATATGAGACACTGTTGCTGCAACCTTCAGGTGGCATCGTTGTGGCACTGGAGGAGGCCCAGGATGGACATGTTGTCCAAGGAGTGGGAGGGGGAGTTGAAATGTTTCGTGACTGGGAGGTGCAGATGTTTGTTGCGAACTAAGTATAGGTGTTCCACAAAGTGGTCCCCAAGCGTCCGCTTGGTTTCCTCGATGTAGAGGCCACATCGGGAACAGCGGATACAGTTTACCACATTAGCAGATGTGCAGGTGAACATCTGCTTGATGTGGAAGGTCTTCTTGGGGCCTGGGATGGGGGTGAGGGGGGAGGTGTAGGGGCAGGTGTAGCATTTCCTGTGGTTGCAGGGAAATGTGCCAGGTGTGGTGGGGCTGGTGGGGAGCGTGAGGTGCTCAAAGGAGTCACGGAGAGAATAGTCCCTCCGGAAGGCAGATAAGGATGAGTAGGGAAAAATGTCTTTGGTAGTGAGGTCAGATTGCAGATGGCGGAAGTGTCAGAGGATGATGCGTTGGATCTGGAGGTTGATGGGGTGGTACGCGAGGACGAGGGGGATTCTGTTTTGGTTGTTATTGCGGGGAGGGGGTGTGAGGGATGAGTTGTGGGAAATGTGAGAGACACAGTCGAGGGCGTTTTCGACCACTGTGGAGGGGAAGTTATGGTCCTTGAAAAACGAGGACATCTGGGATGTCCGGGAGTGGAATGCCTCATCTCGGGAGCGGATGCGGTGGAGGCGAAGGAATTGGGAATAGGGATTGCATTTTTGCAGGAAGGTGGGTGAGAGGAGGTGTATTTTAGGTAGCTGTGGGAGTCAGTAGGCTTGAAATGGATATCGGTTTCCAGGAGGTTCCAGAGACTTCACAAGCTTCAAAATCTCCCCTCCCCCGACCGCATCCCAAAACCAGCCCAGCTCGTCCCCACCTCCCTAACCTGTCCTTCCACTCCTCCCACCTCAACCCCCACCCCCACCCCCTACTTACCAGCTTTATCCCACCTCCTTGACCTGTCCATCCTCCCTGGACTGACCTATCCCCACCCTAACTCCCCACCTACACTCACCTTTACTGGCTCTATCCCCACCTCTTTGATCTGTCTGTCTCCTCTCCACATATCTGCTCCTTTATCCATCTGCCTCCCCCTCTCTCCCTATTTATTTCAGAATCCCCTTCTCCTCCCCCATTTCTGAAGAAGGGTCCAGACCCGTAACATCAGCTTTCCTGCTCCTCTGATGCTGCTTGGCCTGCTGTGTTCATCCAGCTCTACACCTTGTTATTTAGAAAACTTATGTCTGCCATTTCTGGAGTAGATTCTCTAATACCCCTGCGAACTGCTCATGAGTTTGCCTCACATCAAGTACCAATAGGTAAAATGGCCATGCTTTTCTCATATTATTTAACAGTTATGTAGATGTCCAAAACTGGAACAAGTATCGAAGTGAGGCTGTTTTAGGCAGAAAAGCCATTCCACCCAATGCGTCAAGGCACAAAATTTGAACTAGACAGTCTGTGGGTGCAAGCCTTTTATCGTCTGCCAATTGTCTGATCTGTCAGTGTGACTGGGCAGCAGGCAAACCAAAATCTCCCACTGTATATTTTATGTGTCTAATCTTTGCAGAGTTTGTGATTTTAGGGAGCATTCACATTATGATGGTTAGCATATTGTATACATCCTGCATTGTCTATTGCTTTGCCTGATGTATTTGATGACACAGGTCTTACAATACATAGAAACATAGGCAGAGAAACATAGAAGATAGGATCAGGAGGAGGCCATTCGACCCTTTGAGCCTGCTCCGCTATTCTTCATGATCATGGCTGATCGTCCAACTCAACAGCCTAATCCTGCTTTCTCTCCATCACCTTTGATCCCATTTGCCCCAAGTGCTATATCGAGCCACCTGTTGAATACATTTAATGTTTTGGCATCTACTTCTTCCTGTGGTAATGAATTCCACAGGCTCACCACTCTTTGGGTGAAGAAATGTCTCCTCATCTCCGTCCTAAATGGTCCACCCCAAATCTCATACTGTGACCCTTGGTTCAGGACACACCCACCATTGGGAACATCCTCCCTGTATCTACCCTGGCCAGTCCTGTTAGAATTTTATAAGTCTCAATGAGATCCCCCCCTCATTTGTCTAAACTCCAGCGAAAACAATCCTAACCTAGTTCATCTATCCTCATATGTCAGACCCTCGATCCCTGGAATCAGCCTGGTAAACCTTCACTGCCCTCCCTTGAGAGCGAGAGCATCCTTCCTCAGAAAAGGAGACCAAAACTGCCTACAATATTCTAGGTGTGGTCTCACCAAGGCCCTGTACAACTGCAACAACACATCCCTGCTCCTGTACTTGAAACCTCTCACAATGAAGGCCAACATACCATTTGCCTTCTTTACCGCCTGCTGCACCTGCATGCTTACCCTCAGCGACTGGTGCACAAGGACACCCAGGTCCCGCTGCACACTCCCCTCCCCAATTTACAGCCATTCAGGTAGCAATCTGCCTTCTTGGTTTTGCTTCCAAAGTGAATAACCTCCCATTTATCCAAATTATACTGTATCTACCATTGATTTGCACACTCACCCAACCTGTCGAGATCATGCTGAAGGATTTCTGCATCCTCATCACAGTTCACCCTCCTATCCAACTTGGTATCATCTGAAAACTTGGAGATGTTACATTTTGTTCCCTCACTGAAATCATTAATATATATTGTGAATGGCTGGGGTCCCAGGACCAATCCCTGTGGCACCCCACTAGTTACTGCCTGTAATTTGAAAAGGATCCATTAATTTCTACTCTTTGTTTCCTCTCCGCCAGCCAGTTTCCATATCCATCTCAGTTCACTTGCCCCAATCCCATGCGCTCTAATCTTGCACATTTATCTCTTATGACTTTGTCACACGCTGCCTGAAAGTCCAAATATACTACATCAACTGGCTTCCCCTTGTCAACTCTACTATGTTTCTATGTAAATCTTGGTCTGGATAGTTTTATTGATAGGCCAAGAATTATAGATCAAAGGGGAAGTCCCATTGTGTTGCTGGAAATGAGAGATATTCAAACTGAAAATTGTAGTGGCTTTTCTGAGATTTTCTTGGGGAGTATGGCAAAATATAAAAGCAGGATTAAGACTTGATAAATATCACATGGTACCTTCAATTCCCTTCATAGAGATCACAAGGGGTCTGTTTGCTGCCTCCAAAAATGTTTGCTGGGGCATACTGGAGAATTTTGTGAATTCAATTCGTAAACAGTTCACCAAACACTCAGTCTTTAGCTTCAGCTTTCTTTTATCAATGCAAGATGATAGACACACAGTAAACGAGGACATTTTGGATAGGGTGTCTTCATATGGAGCACTTTTGCTGATCATTGAAGAGTCTAATCCTTGAGATGCAAGTCCTGCCCTAAGTGTCATTATAGGATGTTGTTTTCAGCTTTGTG